GCTGCGGGGGGAGGCGGAGCAGGCGGCGCGAGCCGCCGCGCGGTGAGGGGGGACCTTCTCGGGCCCTCCAGGGGCATTATTTTTTTGTGGGGGGGGGCTCCAAACTGGATCTCCAAACCCCAATCTCTGCCTGTTTGCTTCCCTGCCCTGGCCGTGTCCGCGGGCAGCGCTGCCGTTGTGTCAGAGCTCGGTTGTGGAAGTCCATCGTCTACCGAGAGCGCCTGAAATGGATGAAGGGCGTCAGCGTTAGATGCTGTCGTGCGGCGAGGACGCTTTCTGAGCTCGCATTGCTGTTGCTGTTCTCCCTGCGCTACCGGGACGGCTTGTTTCGTCCTAGCCGATGGAGAGGGTTTAACCATGATCAGTTAAAAGTGACCACATCTGTATCCACGTCTCAATCACGCTTCCTGCTCCGGTTGCGAGAGAGGAAGGGACCCCTCCTGAACCATTTGAAGATGCGCCTTGTCCATTTCTACTGTTGGCATCTGCTTTCTTGTGGGCTTGTGTTCATGCGCGCTGCTCCTCCTGCGGTCCGTCGCTCGTGCCTACCGTTAGGGGAGTCGAGAAACGTTTGAGAGACGCACGAGCGCCCGGGAAAACCCAGATTAAACCTTTCCTTTTAGGTGCGTAGAAGAATCAGTCGATGACAAAAAATACACAACGGTTGAGCCTGAAGGCAGTTTGGGCTGGCAGGTAAGAGACGATGCAACAACGGTATTTGAATCTAATGGAGAAAGCTACCACCGAGCATGAGTAAGGAGGCTCCAGCGTGTTGGAGGAAAGGGGGGCAGTACGTGGGTACCTGCTGCTCCACGTTGATGATGATAACTTAATAGAGGTCGCTTTAGGGCCTCGAGGTACCGAGCGCTCTCAATTCCTGCCGAAGGCGGTGCAAGTTTAGGCTCTGAGCATTTCTGGGGGGACTCAACACAGGAAAGCCTTACTGCTGCTGCCCTGACTCATTCTGCCATGCCTCAGGAGCAGGAGGTGGAGGTCAGGCCCTTTGTCAGCCGCTGGAATAAATATCTGGATAAGGGCGGTGAAGATGTGGAGGAAGAGGAGGAGTTGCATCCAAACAGACCTCGGCTCTGTTCCCACCAGGACTGTGTGCAAGAACAAAGGTGCCGAAATAATTTCTTCCTTAATCCTTACTTTGTTCTGATCGATGGGGTTCTGTATGGGCAGCCTTGGCACTAGGAAGCGTTTCTGGTGGGGTCGCTGAACCCAGTGGAGGCTGCAGTAACCGATCCGTACCAGCCTGGGTGAGAACCCACCTACTAGTAGATCTGCTCTTCTAAAAATATCTGCTAGTTTATTTAGGTTGAGCTTCCTACCTGCATTAATCCAACCCCTCTGTGAACTGCTCCCTCCCTGCCAGGAAACGCAGTAGCAGCTTCCACAGCAGCGATGCCCAGGAGCAGGAGCACTGCGAGGAAGATAGAGCTTGTGGGCTTACCTACCAGGCCAAGGAAGTCAAAGCCTTTGAGGTATCCAGTTGCAGCAAATGTTTCCTTACCTGTAAATGATTTTATTTTTGGCTTGCTTGATCAGACAACTCAAATATCAAGTGTTATGCCTTCTTATATGCATAATTAAGATTGTATGCAGCTTAACTTGGTCTCTGTTCTGTATTTAATAGTGCAACTGTGTGAAACAGCATTTAAGTCTGATCAGCCTCTTTAGCAAAAGGTTTTGTCCCTGGAAATCATAAGGGCAGGGGCAGAGAAAAAAAGAAAATGTATTATTTTTATTATCCCTGCTTCCTGGGATAGCAGACCTAGCCATTGCAGTTGTGCTTCCTGGCTGCTGCCCTCATTCATGTGTAGGAATAACGACTGTGCCAGCCTCACTTCTGCCTTGAGTGGAGCGACATAGATTAGCAGTGAGACGGATTACAACTTTGCACGCCTGTTTGTTGTCAGTTTTGTGTGCAGCAGCATCACTTAGTTTGGCTGTGCAAGCTGATGCCGTAGCCCACCTGAATTTCTGTTTACAGAGCAGGAAAACTTCAGTAGCGGTGACTGAACAAGATCATGAAGATGTCCTGTGTGATGGTATTGTGGTTTCTGCTCCCAGTCGGCCTTTGGTATCTGAGGAGGCAAGTTCCAGGGTCAGGTCATGTCATATCACTGCTTCTAAGTGGAAAACATTTCTCTCATCTACTGGTGACTACATTGAAGATAAAGATAAAGCAACCCTTACAGCCCAGAAGTTAGAGCCACTCAAAGCCACTGCAGCAGACTTCCCCACCTCTGGTGGATATGCACAATGGGAAGAAGAGTCTCTGTCTCCAGATGCGGGTGCCCAAATCAAAAACTGTTTCACCAATAATAAATGCGCTGCTCAGCAACGTGCTTCAAAGCCGCACAGCACCACAGCAACCAAGCAGCATGTGCAAACTGCTTTTAACATCAGCAGTGACGCAGCTGGAGATATGACCTGTGGAAAATGTGAAGATCACCTGATGGGGGCAGGATCTGCTGTTGCAGAGAGAAACAAAGAAAGGCTTTGCATGGTAGACGGTACTCTGATGCCAGCCAGCAGACTGTCCAAGGCCTGTGTGACACCTTCTGGAGGGTCTTTTGTGAGCTGTAATGTGGTGTCTAACCCTCTTACCACTCCACATCATGGCCTCTTTTGCACAGGTGATGACTTTGATGACGATCTTTGAGAAGTTCTGGGCTCCACCCTTAACCTTCTTGCCTCACCACCCTGATTGACTGGGGGGTTTGCTAGCCACTATTTTTGTTTAAGGTGTATTAAAATAGTCTGAAAGAGCAGAGCCCTAGAGTGTTATATTAATGTCTTGAGAAATAGTCACTCGTGCTTCACTGTAACAGTGTGAGGAAGGGATGTCTTCATGCAGTTTATTTTCTACTGGAAGTCGGAGGGCTAAAAGTTAAGCTGTTCCCTTGATCTGGGCCGAGTTGTTGTTTATATTTGTTGCTATCTCTACAAATCTCAGTATTTTTAAGTGTTTTCTTTCTGAAGGTGAGTGGGCTGAGTTTGCCAGGGAGGGGCTCTGGTCTGGTGACCCTAGATATGTATTAAGATGCAGTTTTGGAGACTAGAGTCCCATCCCCCACCCCCCAAGCTTGTGTTACTTGCTGGTGCATAACTTATTAAAGGAATTATTGTTGTACTCCTCTTTTCACAAGCAAGATATTCTCTGGTAATTCCTTGTACTCTCTGAAAAGATGCCTCAGGAAGGAATTAAAGCGTATACTTCTCACTGGCTTATGTTACCACTACTTTTATAGCAAGAAGAGCCTGATGATGCTATGCAAAGGGCAAGGCCTGTGGCTTCTCCATGAGAGCCCATAGGTTTACTGAACCAGTGGCTGGCAAAATTCAGCTGGTGATGGGACTCCTATTTCCCAGCAGCGGCAATGCCTTGTGGCTGCTGCCATAGGATGCAACCCTGCTGCTTAGGCATCCCAACCCTTCTGCCCTGTACCCACTGCCAGAGCAGGGCTAGGAGAACCCCAGGATCTTGGGATGGTGACATGGGGTAAGGCTGGGGCAGAGTCACAATCCACTGCCTCTATGCCCCTATGATGAGCATGGGTCCTATGGGCAAGGAGTGGATTGCAGCTGACCCCACCCTGTGATCCTGGGGTCTCCATGAAGATGTGCTGGGAGCTGTGGAGGCTGCCAGGAAATGGAGTCTGGCAATGGGCCAGACCCACCATTTTGCCCACTCCTGCACTAAAACATAAGTGTTACAGAAGATTAGTTACTTCATTATTCCAGCAGTGCTGGAAAAGATGCATCTTAAAGGTAAGATGCCCATGTATAACAGTTCTTTCATTACTAAAGTCCTAGATAATATGGGGTTAAGGCTAGACATGACTCCTTCCACCAGACACTTCCTATACAGCTTTCCCCTGCTTTAAGCAGGTTTTATATGTGCAAATTCACTCTTATGTGATGACCCTTTCTATACCAAAAAAATCATTATGTGCAAGGTAAATTCACTCTTATGCAGTTGGTGTGGTGGAAGTCTAATCAGCTGCTTTGTGCTGTGTATTGTGGGAGTGGCACACACCAAAATATTGTCTCCTGTGTGAATCACTGCTCCTTGCGATAGTGCCCTGTGCTTGTGTGCTGTTGGCGAGTACCAAAATTGTCTTGCAACCAAGTGGTAGGAATCAGCCTGGGGTTCAGTACAGTCAAGGTCTTGGAATGTATCCCTATTTGTTATATTGTAAAGTGGGTTCCCTTTATGCAAGGTTAAGGGAAGCACCATTTTCCAGGAATGCACGTACAGCATAAAGAAGAGGAAGCCTGTATCTCATACCTAAAGCCCCTTCCCATCATGATAGAAACTCTACATAAGGACTTAAGTTTGACATGTTTCTTGTGTGTTAGCAGTAATGCATTACTAATTCTGCACGTTTGAGTAGCAAGATTGTAAAATACCAGATAGACACAAGTATTAGGACAGTGTGGTAAATTAAAGGCAGGAAGTGATATTTATTTGTTCTACTGAGCACTTACAGAAAGACCAAGTACAGACACAAGACCCTTGATAGAGGGAGAACAACGGTTGAGCTGTCATACAAGTTCAGCTTCTGGTAGACTACAGGTAAGTACTTTAGATTACACAGCAAGTGTTAAGAGTGCGGTGGTTGCTTGGAATACTGGATGGCATCCAACGCCGCCCCGATGTCGCAGTTCTTTGCCTGCAGGAGACGACTGAGCCATCCCCCCTCGTCTGAGAAGCCCATGGACAGCATTTGGGACAGAGATTCTATCAGGCGAGGATCTGCTTCTGTTAATCAAATAGAGTGCAAAGGGGGTTATGACTGCAGTTTAAAAGTCAGCAGAGGGAGGGATCCCTCAGAACTTGTGCAGTAAAGTCATTAAAATCAGCCATCTAGCAAGTTAAATGGAAGGGATATCAAAGACATGTTCTCTCTACCCTTCTCCTGCTCCTATGCTTCCTACAATGGGAGCTTTGGAAATGAAGCCATCACATTACTATCAACTGAAAGCAGGTATTGAAACAGCCTCATTAGTCTAAAGTGCTCCCTTCCATTACAGATAAGTTACTACATTTTTTCAAAACAGAAGAGGTAAATAGTTCCTTTTTAGTTAGAGTAGCTGGCAGCTTTGGTAATCTCCCTCCTGCTGTTAGCTCCCATTACCCCAGTGGCTGAGCAGGTGTTAGCTGTTCTCAGGTGACCCAGATTTCCACCACCCCTTCAAGCACCCCATCTGCAACTAATGCTCTCTCCTGCAGTTTTGTGTTGCATGGGTTGACCATTGGCCAGGGAAGTTCAAGACCAGAGGTTTTCATACAAGCAACCCAAGTGAATTTCAAGGGGGTATGACAGTAGGCAACTAACTCCCACTCCTGACCTGCTTACCTGGTGGGAGATGTGGGTACAGTGCAGCCTCTCTCAATCCAGTAGGCCCTGGTGTAGGGGGAGCCTGAGATGGGTCCAGCGAGCTGGGACCATCTGTCTCTGGCATTTGTAGAGATTGCAGCTCACCTGTTGAGGGATCTACTTCCTTTGAAGATAAGTGGGTCCAGTCCTCATCAACTGCTGAGTTGCTACTGGAATCGCTCTGTTCTAATGACTGTAAAGAAAGAGGGAATTAGCCCGTGTTGCAGAGTTCTTCATGGCAGAAGAGACTCTGCTGTTATCCAAGGCTTCTGCAGAAAGGTTTATCACTTTCCTTTACTTGAAGTCTGTAGGACTGAATGTTAAAAAGCCAGCAGCTACTCAGACTACTGAGTTTTGTGCCTTGAAGCATTCCAAGCAGGAGAGTCTGAATAATGGCCTGCTACTAAAAGTATCCATTGTAATGCCACTTAGTTTGCAGTGGCAAGAGTTGGCTAGACATCTCTCACACCTACAGGATTGAACCCACCTTCAGTTCTTATACCTGAGACTGGAAGCTGCTGTCTTCCATCTGTGCCTGAGGAGAGTCAATCACCATCTCCTGCATCTGCTCTGCAATAGCACTGTTTTCTGGGGCAGGTTCTGTGCTGCTCCCTTCCTGTTTGGTCTGGCTGTTCTGAGTAGTGGCACTGCCCGCAGAGTCAGCATCACTCTTCTTGGAGCTAGGGCAGGTGGGAGTCACTTTGCTTCTTTGTCCTCCGTGTTCCACATCAATATCTACCTCAATGCCTAAGAAACCAGACAGAGGGAAAAGCAATTAGTAAGTTAGCATACAAGCTACAGACGTGGAAGTCCCCTGAAAGATAGCACATTCATCGGAATCTAGTTATTCTGAACTCAAACAGTAAGTTATCATTTTGTTTGACATTTCTCATCTGCAGGGGATTTAAAAATTGAGAAAAGAACACATAAAAGCACACTGAAAAAGCTAAGTGAAGCACATGCCAGCCATTCCTGTGCCAAGAAAAAGCTGCTCTCCATTCTCATTTAAAAAGGATGAGCAAGCAGCTGTTACATGCACTAACACACAGGAGTTAGATGCAGCCTTAAGTCACCTAGTTAACTCAAGATTCTTCCCAGTTAAATGCTATCATTTTACCACTGTGTAGTATACTTCTGCAAGAAAGGACACCCTTGGGTCCTTATGGGGAGACTGGAGCCAGAAATGGCTCGGATGTCTTCTAGAGCAGAGGTATGCCACTGTTCCTCTTGGTACAAGATAGGAGCAAGCCCTAACACTGGATTTGAGAAGTACGAGTTAGAAAAAAGTCACTTACCCAGGGGACTCAGAAAGGCTGCAACACTCTCCCCGACATTTTTTAGGAAGGTGACATTGGGGTCCTGAGGCTGGCTGTTAGTAGAGGGTTCTAAAAAAAATAACTTCTGTTAATGCAAGACAGCAGGTAGGTGCCAAACACACACTTTCCTCAAGGGAATTAAAGAGGGGTCCTGGCAGGCTTAGACAACCCATTCCACCCACCCACCCAAGGGGGAAGTGCAATTCAAGCAGGTTTGCATTTGAAACGGAGACCTGGTGCTTCCTCCCTGCTCCCATCCAACACAGACTCCAGCCCACTCCACAGCAGAACAACTTATCAAACCTTTACTAGTCTGAGCACTTCATTCAGCAGAGCATTCCCTTCTTACCTTGCTCAGGGGCTGGATTTTCCGGTGCCGTACTGGCTTGTTCCTGCCCAGAGTTCTGGCACGGAGCTGAAGGAGCTGGATACCCCCAGCTATGCATCCAGGCAAAGGGAGGAGCACCGTGCCTCAGCTTGCGTAGCCAGCGACCTCGTGGGAACCACTGAAAGAAGTTGCAGTGTCATTTGACCCCATACTTGGATTACATCCTGGACACAAGTCCCATGACAGCATGCAACTACATGCAGTAGCTGGAACTGCAAACTCCTCTGGGCACCCCCTGCACCAGTCCCTCTCCACGGCAGAAACACTGCTCACCTCAAGTGGACTCTGGAACATGACCATGTTGTGCTCCTTATGGAGGCCTTTTCCCGCACAAGTGCTGCACAGGTCGTAGTCTGGACAGACAGTGCACTTGAACCTAGCACCCACCACCGGTCCCTCGCAGCCATCGCAGATGACGTTGGGATGCACCACGTTTGGGGGCTGCTCCTGGCTGCACTGTGGGCGATGTTCACGCCTGCACTCCTTTTTCTCTAGAGAGTGAGAGTTTCTACGTTACAAGGAAGCTGCCAGGTTATTTTAAGCCTTCAGGAAACAAGACTCAGACAAAGCTTTCTACATTTGGAGTTCATTAGTACACGGACCACACGAGCTGAATGTGTCCACGATGCCAGCTTATGGGTCATTTGCATTACGCACACCCTCAACAATGCTAGGGTATCTGGGGACCAGCCAGCAGCAAGCACAGAGCTGGGGAAGAAATGCAACGCTGAAGAGGGCAACGTGAAACAAGGCCAGAGAGACTTTACGTCAAGAAAGCGTACATCCTCCTTGTGGAGACACTTTTTTGGACAGGATTGTGTCACTGGACATGGTCCACGCTGCACCGAGGAAGAATCTGCCCTTGCCCCGCTAGCTAGTATAGATGCTATTTGTATTGCTAGTTTCTAGCACTGCTAAACAGTCTAATTTTAGCAGGTTACGTGCCCCCAAGGTTTCTCTCTCTGAAATAGGTGAACACCAGAGTTATATTCTTATCCCGAGAAACATGAAATAATTATTATTATTATTATTATTATTATTATTAAGCATAATTTGAAGACAGTGCTCAACTGGGAGGAGGTTCTCCATTTACTTTCGCAGAAAGTAAAACGAGGTTGTGTTTCATTTCTTTTTTTCAGTTTTCTGGACTTGTGAAGCCCCGAAAACTTTTTGGGCCCCCTGTTTCCAAATGACACTGCTTTCCCCTGGCAAGGTATTTGTTCCCTCCCGAAAGAGGCAAGTCTCGCTCCCCTTTGAGGCTCCCGCGCGTCTCAAATCGCGCGGATCTACCGTCCAGCCCCACCGAGCCGTCCTCATTCCCCAAGCCGTGCCCGTAGGCTGCAGCCTCCACAGCCACGGCACCTGCCAAGCGTCTGGATCCGCCGCCGTCGCCCGGCAGTTGTTTGCGGGAAGAGGAGGCACGTCGGCAGCCCCGCGCGGACGGAGTCGGGCCACACGACCAGCGAGGTCCGGCGCGCCCACGACGCGCCGCAGGTTTCCAGCCTTCTCTCTCTGGGGGGGGGGAGAAGTTACCTTTAATGTAGACACGGAAGACGCCGTCCTTCACGTAGGGCCAGGCCAGCTCCAGCTCCTCGTCGCTGGAGAAGGCGATCATGTCCCCGTCCTCATCTGCGAGAGAGAAACCCAATGAGCGACCCCCGCGGGCGGCCAGGCCCCTCCGCCCGGGCCCCCGGCCCCGCCCGCCCCG